TAGGAGTCGAAGGTACTTTCCTTGTTGTGATTTATTTTGGTGGAACGATAAAGTTCCGGGCGGAAGGGTCAGCGTGTCGCTGGTGATGCGCCAGACGACTCACCACCGCTCCAAATCCCTTCCTGCCCTAGGGACCGTCTTGCCCCGCACCCTTTGGGACACCTCAGGGTGCAGAAGGCGGTAAAGCCCTCAGGCCGGTTTTGCGCCCGCTAAAGGGTTATCTCCCCTTAGCGCGCACTTCAGCCGACGCCTGAGCGCCGGAAATGACCCCATGGCTCAGAATAGGCCATTTGGGTATAGGCACCACATAGTGCGCCGTCATCGCAGATACTCATGTAGAGATGCATAGTGAGATGGTATTGTGTAGGAGCAGCGTCCGCGCTACCTTATATTAAGTCCGCACGCGCAGCACTCGCTGATTCTCGCACTAAAAAGTTATGGGCCGGGCGGCGAGACCACGAGCGCGACACAGTCAATAGACTCGGGGTTCTGGTATCGCGAAGTGGCACGCGGGCGAAGGACTAGTCCCGTCGGCCTATGGGAGTCCGTGTACGGGCCTCACTATCCCGGACATCGGGTAGCCTATGGGTAGGATACCGGGCCTCCTCCGTGCGCGCGTCGTTTGGGCCTGTCCACCCCTTTCATTCTAGGAGGCCACTAGACTAATGAGAGGTGGAGTGAGTTCTTCTTTTTCAGCTTTCATGGTTGGACGTTATAGTCCGTGGCAACCGTCAAAGTCAAACCCCTTGATGTTTGACCGCCACGACAGCTTAAAGCTATCTACTCAACCCCTCTGCACAGGGTGTGGAAGAGGATGTGGTCTCCAACCGCACATGGTGGTTGTCCGGTGTCGAGAGATTAACCCTCTAGGCGCATGCCAGCCGGCACTTGAGTGTCGAACGCGACCCTCGAGATTAACAAGGGCCACGCGAGTATGGGTACTACACAGTACGCCATCATTGCGACCGCTTGCGTACGGTTGCATTACGAGTCGACATGAGTAGCCCTGCGTCCGCACATCTCTATATCTAGTCTCGCGCGCGACACCTACCCGACTTCCGCATCGAAGAGTTATGGGACGGTTACCAAGGGGCTAGGAGCGTTGTCGCGTAGTTTATGTTGTGTCGTTTGTGTGTATGTATGGGTGTCGCCGTTTGCGGTTGTTAGAGTAAATGTGCGCGTGGTGTATGGGATGCGTCCTAGTCGACTGGCGACGAGCCGCGCTTGGGACCTCAACCCCCCCAAGATGCCGGTTCGCGTGCGGTTTCGATAGAGGCGTAGTACCGCGCGTACCCCTTATGCTACAGCGAACGAGAAACGCCCTCGGCTGGTCCACCTCTGCGATTGCAGCTGATCAGCTTTCGTACTGTGGACTGGTAGCTCGGCGGGGATACGCCCACCGAAGGGAGGGGACAGCTCCCGTAAGGTGGAGGTAGTCGTGCCTCGCGTAGGCCCTGTCCTGTCGTAGGGGCTCGCGAGAGGTATGGCTGGCGCACCCGGCCAGAGCGGCCTACGGAAGCTCCACGATTGTATCACGATAAGGGTTGTATTCTGACTCCTGCGTGACGCGGCCGGGAGGGTCCCTCGCTACCTCTGAGTGGTGTCGGACCGATGCGCGCGACAACAGGACCCGCGATCGGAGCCCGAGAATGTTGTGCCACGCGTTGCGATTATGTTCCATCACTTCGCAGATTGTGTCGTCACTTCAGATATGTTCTTGAATTGTTTCGTGGTTCGCGTCACTATGATTTTTAAGCGTGTGTTGTCGAACATGAGAGCATGGAATCTTACGAATTGTCTCGACGTGGTTCCTTTCATCTGTATTTTTCACGAACGTTCTTCTCGCCGCTTTCTTCTTCCTTGCGTTCGGTTCTGTTTATTTGTTTTCCCGCTTTAGTCGCGTCGTTCAGTTCGCTCGGCGTTCGGATTTGTTTCCATACTTTGTCTTCTCCGTTCGTCAATTTGTTCACAATTTTCGCTACTTGTCCTCTCGCCGACACGCGCACGACCGTGCGTGGTGCATCCTGTGCCGTGACACATTCAAGAACACTCGCCATCCTCAAGCGAAACGTCATCTCATGTTCGACAAGCTACGCACAACAGGAAGTCAATTATTGGTTTCTTATGTAATTCTTTTGTCTTTCTCGGGTTTTGCAATGTGACCCATTCGAAAAACGCGCAACTTGATTGTCAGGGTCTGCTCGTGGAGAGGCAGAGAGATAAAGACAGACTCTCTTGCTGTGCCCTCTCTCTTTCTCGACGTCTCTATCGATCTCTGTCCCACTTTCATGTCTATGCGGGTCTTTTGTTGTTCTCTATGATTTGAAGACACAGACAGTCGATTGATCAAAGCTAGGTCGTTCCCCCTTGAGTGCAATCACAGATCAGTAATCCGAAGATTGCACTCAAGGGGGAACGACGCAAATTCGATCGTGCGACTGTCTGTGTCTTCAAATCTTTAAATCCTATCAAACCACGCGTCGGCCAATCGCCGCGAGAACAGCGGAACCCTTCGCTGACATGGATACAGGAGAGGACAACAAGTCTTGATTGATGAAGGTAAATATCATTTTGCGCTCGCTTGTTTGTATTATCCCAAGAAAGGGTAGCAAGGCTAAAAGTGCACGTCCCAGAAGACTTCTCGACACCGGCGCGAAGGCCAGCCGAACACAAGTGGCGATTAACCCAACTATCCAATGAACATGCCAATCGAGAAAAAAACGTCTAATCGAAAACTGCGTTCATATCTTAATTTTCGCTCAACAGGAAAGGCAACAAAAGAACATGTGGAACACACGCTATCAAGCACGGAGCGATCAGATGCTCAAAGGGTATTGTCGACGACGACAAGTCTTGTCAAACAGAATGACGACAGCCCACCCTGTCCATACCATCCTCTGGTGGCGCGACAACTAACGTATCCGAGCCACCCGTGTTAATTTCGGATGCATCCGAGCCACAACCAACCAAAACTCACGAGGACGACGACACCCCATTTAACAATGCACAGATTAACACGATACACTCCGGTAATCGCCGGCAGGTTGGGTGTGCGGTGGGGCGACAACAAACCGAAGCACTTCGGCGAAGTTCGGATTAATCCGAACCACACCGATGGCAATTTCGGATTTACCACATGCGCACAGGGTATTGATGACGTCGCACGACAAAGTTCAGGTTCAACCTAACCACACCTCTGGCAAGATAGGATTAACCCTATGCTCAAGGGTCATTGACGAAAACACGCCATACCGATGGCGTCCTCTTGTGGTCGTCCATCTCTGGACTACACTGTTAGGATACGAATGCACCCGACTCACAACCATCACAAACTCAAAAGAAAACTCGAGTTCGGAGTAATCTGGACCACAGAACGAATGGTCGAAAAAGAAGACCGCGGGGTAGTTCGGATACATCCGAACTAGGCATAGTCGAAAGACCGACATCGTATATCGTTGTCAGTAATAGGTACCTGTATCGGGAAAAGCAAGACCGCGCTAGAAGGACTAGACAACTCGAGTTCGGATTAATCCGGACCACGCGGACGTAGTCCACACCACTTTGGAGCTCGGATGCATTCGAACTACACCGAGGAACTTCACAATCCGCTTGAGAAAACTCGAGTTCGGATTAATACCGACCACAGGGACGTAGTCCACACCACATTGGAGCTCGGATGCATCCAAACCACACCGAGGAACTTTGCAATCTGCTTGTCGACTTCGGATGAATCCATATCACAATGGAGTGCACATCTTCGTCTGCTCTATAAACTTTCTAGGGCCTTCTTAGTTGGTGACGGTTGTGACTCGGATGCATCCGAATTCGAACAGTGCGATCCAGAGACGGACGACCACAAGAGGACGCCATCGATATGGCGTGTTTTCGTCAACAACCTGAATCTTGCCAGAGGTGTGGTTCGATGGAACCTGATCTTTGCCAATGTGGCTCGGATTAATCCGAGACGGGGACCGGCTGATGTACGCCACGGTTTGTTGACGCCCACCCAACCATACAAGTTTCCGTTATTCCCCTTCTGTCCTTGGGTCCACCCGTACTTCGCACGGTGTGTCCTCGTCCTTGAGAGTTTAAGACGGTTGTGGCCTGGAGGCTGTGTGGACACCGTGTGCTTTACAATCCGCTTGTCGACTTCGTACGAATCCGTATCACAATGGTGCACATCTTCGTCTGCTCTATCAACGTTTTAGGGCTTTCTGTCGCAGCCTTGTTTCTCCCGCTACAGGTACCTGTTACTGGCAACCGTATACGACGTCGGTCTTTCAACTATGCGTAGTTCGGATGTATCCGAACTATCCCGCTGTCTTCGTTTTCGACCATTCGTTCTGTGGTCCGGATTAATCCGAACTCGAGTTTTCTCATCCTTCTGAGTTGGTGACGGTTGTGACTCGGGTGCATCCGAATTCGAACAGTGTGGTCTAGAGACTGCCGACCACAAGAGGACGCCATCGATATGGCGTGTTTTCGTCAATGACCTCTGAGCGTAGGGTTTGCGATGCCTCGGATTCATCCGAAGCGTGCAGTTGCCCTCCTTTTCGAGCAGGCGTGTGGAGCACTGTCATCTAACTATCACTGAACTTTGTATTTTTCGGGTCCCGGTAGATCGAGAACTAAACAGGTGTTGTGGGTCGAGATTGATGTTACGACGTGCTGAGTGTTCTGAGTGCATGTGCCTTCATTTCCTCCGCGTGTTTCAGGGAATGGCTACTCACGGACGATCCCGCTCCGCTGGTGGTTCCGCCCCGCGTGGGGAGGAACGTCGAGGGACGACGTCGTCACCTGCAAGGGAAACGAGCCGGGGAGGTGACGGTGGGGAGGAAGAACGACGGGCTCAAAACTTGTGGTGCGACTACAGCAAGCGTGTATGGTATTTGGACTAGGCGAGCCAGGACAACTCCGACCTGTTGAAACCACCATCCGGGCCGGTCTTGTTCGTCACCGGTCGCGGCGGCAGGACGCGTCTTGTAGGGTCCATCGTCGAGTGGGTCGACGAAGGCGGCTACAATTTCAGGTTTACCTTGCGGAAGCTTTACAGAAGTGATGGTTCCGTCGACGACATCGCTAAAGGATGCAAGGTTGCGGGGAAGATGTTCGGCGGATACGGCCGGGGTGCGATGTCATTGCCCTCCTTTGTTCCACTAGCGCCAGGACACGACGAAGCCGTTCACGTGACAGACTTCCTCGAGGTTTGGGCGAGTACAGTTCCCTCTGGCAGTGCCATGGACGTTGGCCCTGGGACATCGATCAGTGGTCCTGTTGGGTTCGCGGGAGGAGAGTGCTTTGAAAGGAGGATGGGAGGTCAGGATGGACTACCGGCTTCGCCTTCTGATCAAGAGGTGGGCATGTCAGACGACTCGGAGGACGACCATCCACGTGCTCCTTTGAAACCAGGCTTGCATGGATCTCGCCGCCAAGGTTTTCTTGGGGAGTCGACGCCACGTGGAGGCGGCATTGGAGAACGGTTGCAACAAGCCTCAAGGATCGACGACTCCTCGTCGTCTGGTCGAAAGGATCGGTGAGTTCGTTCTTGGCATGTAGGTGGCCGAGGTTTTGCCAGGAGATCCCACGGGTAGCTCGCAGGTTCGAGAGGTGCGTGGGTCAGATGAGACGACTCGCTCGGCCCGCCGTGCGCCTGCACAACTGCAGACGGAGGCGAGCCCACAACGAGAAGCAGGTGGGAACGTCGCCGGTGAGGACGAGGGGTTCGAGCTTGGGCTGTTTCGTGAGAAATCGCTTGAAATGACTCAGTCGGGAGGCAAGCGCAACTTGTTGGGTGAGGAAGAGCGAGAGGGAGTAGGTGCTATGAAAAGGCAGAGAAAGGAAGGAGGGAGTGCTCGGACGCCAACGACACGAGAGGGCGGTTCCGTTGAGAAGAGGAAAAGGGTTGGAGGTGGGGATGAAACGCCCAAAGAGTCATCGGCACGACGAAGAAGCGGTGAGTCTTTCGAGAAAAGGTCGAAATCGTCGAGGGAGAAGAAAGAAGATGAAGGCGAGAGCGGGGAGGGAGATGACGACGTGGAGATTAACCTCAACGCCTTTAACCTCGACAATGCGTTCTTCATCGAGATGAAGACAGGGGTGCAGAGGGACGTCGTGTTACACATCCATCCCGAAAGAATATTGCCTATTCCAGACTGGGAAGACGCGTACAACCACCGATCCTTGGACGAGTTCCTCGTTGATACCATAGCGTCGGCTATGATCGACTGCTACGAACGTAAAGACATGAGATACACGAAGCCGATTTTCGTTCTCGCTCCGGTCGTCGCCCCTCTGGAGAAGGATAAGCCAGTTGTGCGTGTGCTGCCTGGTGACTTCGATGACTCACACCCCGAAAAATATTGGTATTATCCTGTGTGTGGACAGCATAATGCAAGGGTGGCGATGAAGGTCAAAGAACATCCCGTGTTTAACTACTACAACTTTTGTAAATGGCCGTTTAGACCGATTTACTTCCCTGACGACGAGTTCGACGGCTACGCCCATGTCAGTTGCGAAGACAACATGAAAGACAAGAAGAATCCACCGCGCTTGCAGGTTTTGTCTATGCGGGACATTCGCAATATCTGGAAAATAAAGGGGAAACCGCGTGTGGTGCTCCGCAACGCGTCGAAGAAAAAGGAGGAGGTGCGTAAGTGGGTACAGTTCATTGCGTTGGCAATGAAGAAGACACCGTACACGCCTTTGTGGAACTTGTCAACGGAAGGAAAGAAAAAAAAGAAATGGGCTGAGAAACTTCAATACTACCTCCCTCTGGCCATGGCAGATGACTCCATCTTCGCTTGGGGGGAGAAGTTCTATGACGAATGGTCGAGAGGGAAACTCCTTGCTTCCAACGGCCGACGTTGGACTGAAAAGCCGCCCACCCATGACGAGGTGGCTAAGCCAGGACTCTCCACTGTGACTGACAGCCAGGGGCTGAAGAAACACGTCTGGTACGTGAAGGTGGACGACCCGTCGTTGAAAAAGGACAAGGGGAAGGCAAAGAAAGGCGCGGAGGAGAAAACTTACTACGTCCAAGTTCCTGAGCCGGATGTCCACTGCGGGAAGGAATTGGTGGACTTGACGGACCGCGAGAAGAAAAGGTTGTTGAACGGCGTCTTGAACCTTAACGTCGTGTGGGTTCAAACGAGTAGTAAGAAGTTGGCCGAGCAAGGGAAGTTCAGTGTGAAGGAAATGGTCGACATAATAAAAATGGACCGGATTATGCTGAGGCTGTAGCACTACGTGGAGTTCGAGCACGAGGAAATGGATAAGTGGGAGTGGAATGTCAATTCCACGTTCTTCAGGTCCAGGCGGCAATTGTTGGAAGAGTTCAAGGACAAAGGTCTCGACGACAAGCTTTGGAACGAGAGCAGGAATTTTTTCACGGACACCGCGTACGTCAACAAGTGCCCTCTGTTTCTCGGGTGTCAACACGACAACAACATCAAGAAAACGGTGGCCCTCGTTAACAACCAGCATTTCCCGGCGGAGTGGAAACGTGTCATCCTTTCGGTGATCACTGGAGAATGCGCCCAAAGCAAAAGAGGCCCTCGAGGCATTGATGAATGCATCAACATTTTGTGGACGAAGACAAGCGCGTTGACGACGCTGGCCCAGTTTACCGTCGACCCATTGCGTGCCATAGATCATAAGGAGGCGTTGGGAAAACTAGGGCATCAGCTGCGCTCCCACACTTGCGTGCTCGACTTGTGCGGAAATGTGGACCGGGCGCGCTGGGACTCTGGGACATTCGCGTCTCTAAGTGAGTTCCTGGGCTTCGTTTGTCAGGACTACTGGACATTGGTGGTATTCGTTCCCTGCCTGTGGAACCTCTCCTTCATGACATCTTTGTCTGCGCATGGGGCTACCCGATGCTACACGGGGAAGTGGGTGCGGAAGACGGCATCCAAGAAGACGCATCAGTTCGGAAACAGCGTCTGGGAGGAGCTGGATGTAATGCACATCATTTTCAAAGGTGAGGATCCGCGGCTACTGACTCACCCGGTGTACGAGGGAGCTGTTGCCGAAGACGATGCCGCCGCTCTCCGAAGGAAATAGAAAGTGACACCTACGGATGTGGAGGAGAAGTCTTTCAAGTCCTTGACTTTCGCGGACTTTGGGAACCTCAGCCAGAGGGGGGCTGTGTACAAGGAAGGCGAGCGGAATCCTAATTAGTTATGCAATCAACTTCTTTTCTTCTGTGGTGTGGCGGATGCCGTGCTGTTCTTGGGCAAGCCGCACTCGCAGGTGGTGTGGAGTCTGCTTCAGCAGGGAAGGCACATCTTGGCCGTGGATGGGGACACAACGCAGCTTGAATACACCGTGCAGTTTGTTACCCATGAAGTCTCGTCCGGGGCTTACGCATGCGATTTCCACCATGTCGTCGTCGAGCCCGTTTATGACCCGAACAAGGGCATGTTCTTCAAGTTGACTCCGAAGAAAAGGCGCCAGGTCTACTCGTTTCTTTTCGGCCAACAACCGAGGTTGAGATTTGACCAGCAGTACGTGGTGCGAAAGGAAGTCGCCATTGCAGTCCTCCAGGGCTACCACGGGGCGAGTCGCGCCGGCGTAGTGAGCTTCATTAAGAGGCTGGAATATGTGTTTTTTAACGAGGGTATGGTCGATCCGACCGACTTCACTTTGGATAACTACAGGCTGGCATTTGGTGAGGACGATGACTTCAATATCGAGACTAAGCAGGAGGAGAGCGTTGAGGATGACCTCTTCGATTTGGACGGCCAATTGGCCATCCTCAACGCCCAAGTTTCTGAGTCGCCCTCAGTATGCAAACCGGGGACACCTCTCGCTACACCCACCTCAGGTGGTCCCACGCCTGTATCCTCCTCAGCGCCTATCAAGAAGGGTGGTTTGTCCCGTTTGAGGAGTTCGCCGGGGGAGTCTATTCGTCTCACACCGCAGCCCGAACGTCTTCAACCCGGCCAACCAGTTCCTCCGGACCATCCACATCTCTTGGCTCCTGAAAGGCCCTACCACATGCGCGACAAACACACCTTCTCCACAACCGAAGATTGGGGCATGATATCGTGTGGCACCCTTACCATTTCCAGCCAGTCCTTCTCGACGGCGACTAGGCAGTGGCTGTGAGGGACCTAAGTGGAGGGTGGGTATATAACGATCGTTGGGACCTCGAGACATTCAAATATCACGCCTACGATGCGGTATTGGAGAGATTAAGTGAGGTCAATCGATGAAGTAAGGACGACCCTGCTCTGCGCGCATACGGGGACACGCTATTCGATTTCTTGCAATCAAATAAATGGCTGGAACTATCCTCCGCGTTCTACAACCTCCCGTCAAGCCCGTCAATTAATCAAGTAAGTTGGGAGTTGCCTGCCACCACCCCACCGGCTGGAGTTGTGAAGCGCAAGTCTCGCGGAAAGGACGACGAAGGGGACGACCAGGGCGGCAGGCAACGCGGAACCGGAGGGGGGAGTGAACAACGCTCGACGAGACAACGGTCTCCGGGGCATGAGGGCGGCGGAGAGGGGGGAAAGGGCAGCCGAGAGAAGAAAAAGCCTCGCAGCGGAGAGAAGACAAAGCATCACAGAGGAGATGGGCATGTGTCCGATTTCGACCGCGACGAGGACAGTGGGGTTCTGGCGGTAACAGGCAGCACCTCAATGAAGACGGGGAACGACTTCAGGCCTGGGTGGATTACGCGGCCTGGCGAGCAGGACCCTGTGATTAGCTCCACCAGCGCAACACAATTTATCGATGTGGTTGACGGGGCAGTTGTTGCAAAGGATGAAACTTGCTTTGCTCAACTTCAAAAACGATTGGCGGATTGTCTCGGATCAATCCGAACCACGGAGACGACGACGTTGTCCGGAACTCATTGCCTTGAGGGAAGCGAGACGACCACATACCACGGGTCTGACAGTCACAAGCTGGAACCGTGTTCCGTTTTGCCTCAAAAGGAAGTTCGGATTAATCCGAACCCGGAAGCCAATACCGTCGAGAGAGTACAGCGGTCTATGGAACTCGAACGGGTGGTCCTGGTTTCCGAAAACCCTGGCGGCGAAATTCGGATTCATCCGAACCAGGAGGATGTGTCTGCCATGACAGACGATCGGTGTAAGGACGCCGTAATGTTGCGCATAGAAGTCTGCAAGGAGCTAGAGGCACACTGTCCGGCTGAGGGTGAGTTAGCGACCAGTTTCAATGTCGAGTCCCGCACCCTCGGAGACGAATGCCTGGTGGCGGTGCGCGCTTTGTTACCAGTCTTAAGCGACTCTCCGGTGAAAACGGACACGTCGGCGCCATTGGAAACTGCGGGGGCTCAAATGAATCCGAACCAGGGCCCTGTGAGCATGTCCCTCCATGATGCAGCTTTGGAGACGACCTTAATTCGGATGCATCCGAGACACACGGATGTAGGACTTGAACTGGCGGGCGTTGAGGGTTGTGGACATGTAACAACTTTAGACAAGGCGGACGGGTCCTCGCCGACACATTCCGCCGACGACCAGATTGAGCCGACACTTAGCGGCGTGAGGTTTCCCCGCGTTACTTCAGGACATGATATGCGGGTCGTCGGGTTGGAGCAACGAGGTGAGGCAGTATACGACGACCCCTTGTACTCCGGCCTTCACGACGAGGCGATGGGAGAGGCCATTCTAAAGAAGGCCTCTTGCGCTGTTGGAGATAGCTTTTTCTATTTGAGTGACGACGACAAAAACACAGCGCACGAGGACAAGAAGTTAAGGGGGGGACAGGTGTTGTTGGACATCCATGGAACCTTGAGCCCAACACAATACGACACATTGGCGACAGAGAAAACACAACCTGTCGATGTTGTGGACGTCGACGCTCTTTGTCCGGAGACGGACAGAATAAAATTGACCGTCGCGGACGTGGAGGATTTCCGCCATCGGGATGGGGATGAATTCATGCCGTCTTCGGTCATCGACGCCGACATCTCAAACCTGTCAAGTTTCCCTGGGGGTTTGGAGCACGCTGTCGCCGCGTCGATGCGCACAGGGGCACCAATCGTGTTGGGACTGCCATCGGTGGGCTCTGGTGACGTGGAAGCTAAGCCTGGTAAGCACTGACTTTCTCTGCTTGCTTCCCTCTCGTCAGCCCGTTCGTGAAGTGTTGTTTGCTTCGTCGCTTTCGGGGAGTTGTATACGCAGCCGCCAACTGGACTGTGACGATGGGGTTCGTGAGGTGTTGTTTGCTTGGTTGCTCTTGCGAATTTGTGTTGTTGATCTCCGGCTGAACTCTCTGGGTGGCTATTTCTTGTACAGGTCGACGAACTCGTGGACAAACACACATGTCGCAGGAGCCGCCTGCCCTCGCCAGGTTGTCAGTCCTGGTTGCGGGAGGCACTGGTCGTTGCGGTGTCACTGATTCGTTTCCTGGGAACGCTAAGCCTCGGGGCCCTCCCAAAAGGATAGTTGTGCCCATAGTGGGCCCTCGCGCAAGACTCGTTGCAGAGGCAGCGGGTGTTGCCGAAAAAGACTGCAAGGAATTCCTTCTCGAAGCTTGCAAGGATATAAAGAAGGACAGTGCTAGTTTAGACTCAACTGTGTGTAGAAGGTCCAGAAGTAGGGGTGATGTTATGCGTGAACTTTTCGGGCCACAGAGTAGCAGTTCGTCGGACCATGGCCGCTACGACGACATTTTCTCATAGTACCACGTCCTTTGTGTTTGCTGTGTGTTGCGGGTGTTTGTTGAACAGGGTTTCCCCGAGATGGAAGAGCAGTCCTTGAAGACGTTATCTGCTCCCGGTTGCCGCTCACTATCATCGTTGCACGTTTGCCGTCGCACAATTTGCAGGTATCCGTCAAGGACATCGTCGCACTCGTGGATGGATCCGGGGAGCTCAACGATGAGGTTGTCAATTTCTACATGGCGATGCTACTGGATGACTGCGGCCGGACTGCTGCTACCATGAAGACGTACACCTTTAACTCTTTCTTCGCCTCTACACTGCTTCTGCGAGGTCCGGCAGCTGTTAGCAGATGGGCTAAAGATGTCGACCTCCTGTCTCATGACCTCATCTTGTCACCAGTGCACAAGGACGGCGAACACTGGAGCTTTTTGGTCATTGACTTCTCTAGACGTGTTTTGGAAATCTATGATTCTTTCTCGTGTTTGTAACTCAAAGATGACTTCTATTCCGCACTTTTAGATAAAACTGTTAAATTTTTGAATACGGTGGCAGGTGCCGCCGGTGATGGTCGCACTTTTGATCACTTCGCGCGTGAGGTCGGCGTGAAAGGTGTCCCTCGGCAGCACGACAGGGCTAGTTGTGGGGTGTTCATGTTGATGTTCGCTTCCTGTTTGGCGAGAGGTTTACGTCCACCTTTTGGTTTCTCCCATAGACACATCTCCTCTATCAGAGCTAAACTAGCTTTGGCGATTTGCAATGTTGGTAGGTAAGCGTCTATCTATTTGTTGATCATGTAGTGTAGAAGGGTTGACGTAGAAGAACATTTCGTTCTTCTCTGAATGAAATTTCTTCCTTTTCATTTTTCCATGAGAAACTGGTAGGTGTTCTCGGGTTGTTTCAGAGCGGAACTGGTTGTCACTGCCCGGATATCTCCGGGTGGAATTGTCACGTCCCCGACATGTTTGTGGTCGACAATATTGTTCTTTCTCATTGGTTTTCAATTATCACGAACGTCCCCCGGCCGTGGTGGGGGCGCCTGTTTCGTTGTGAGGAAACCCTGGGAGGGGCGCCCGCTTGTCGCTGAAGCCAAGGGCAACGGCGCCTGTCACTCGCCGCGCCCGCGTCCGAGGTCCTCAGCGACCAGCGGGAATCGAGTTTGAGGTTGGCTGTCACGCACCGTTAGCAAGTTCCTATAGCAGTGAGTTGTAACAGTCAATTAGTGAACCAACTTGGTCACACAGCGATGAGTCAAGTCCATATAGCTCCGAATTTTAACTTAAATCGTCAATAGTTGCTATTTGCTCTTTTCGCGGGGAAGGTTGGTCTACATCAGTGACAATAGTTGTTTACTCACCTGTAAGCACGGCTAATCTAATCATCAGCAATAATGGCTGATTGCTCACTTGTAGAAAAACCCCTCTCTCTCTCTCTCAGTCGGCTCTCTCCCTGTCTCCCTTTTCTCTCTGGCACTCAGTCCGCTCTCTCCCTGTCTCCCATCTCTCGCTGTTCCAATCTCTCTGTCCCCTCTCTTCCAGTCTCCCCGCTCTCTCTCTCTCGCTCGAGATTCCCTTTTCTCCACGTGCAGCAATACCACTGGATGCGAGCAGCGGCTCAAAAACTTTGCAAATCACTTCATGGACGAGCTTGCTTGAATCAGCGAATTTACTTATCATCCCGCTTTTGAGCGAGCCCAAGCGTCTAGAGTGAGCAAGTTCCCACAACTAATCAGGAGTGAGATCCGTCCCTGTCAGATTCGGGTTTAGTAATTAAAAAAAAAAAAAAAAGGATAAATATAATAAAATAAAATATTTTACAAAAAAAAAAAGGATTCTCACATAATTATTTGCGATCACCAGTCCACCCGGAACGGTGCTTGTGCCTGTTTACATGGAGTAGGAATCTCGAACAGCTCCCTAATTTGTTTCTCAGCGCGCAGCCGCGGCTCGCTTCAGACGGGTCTCTTGATGGACACTCAATGACCAATCACTCCGCTGGTCTTCGTGTGAC